AGAACACCAAGTAGACTTCTAAAGTTTTTGATGCCAGTTCCTGGCTCCTAGGCAGCACCCGTAGACCTGCCCAGGGCCTGGGAGACCTTGCCACTCTGAAGGAAAAGCTTCCCCATCTGCTGATTGTAGAGCCCCAGGGCCTTGTACAAACAGAGGCAGTAGCCAGGTAGTGGTTACAGTGAGCCCTAGGGGGGACCCACTGCTGTGCTAGTTTCAGATTTGACTCAGCACAGCCCCAGTGGTGGTGGCCACAGGAGTGTTTGCATCACCCCACTCCCAGCTCAAGGCATCTCAGAACAAAGAGAGAGGGAGTCATTTTGTTTGGGAGAAAGCAAGGGAAGAGAAGAAGAGTCTCTGCCTGGTAATCCAGAGAATCCTTCCAGATTTTGTCCAAGACCATCATGGTGGTACCTCTATGAGTCTGCGAGAACCACAGTATTAATGGGATGGGGCGCCCCCTAATGTAGATATAGCTTAGGTCTTAGATAACAACACCCAAACTCTTTTGGATACCTGGAAAGCTTTCTCAAGAAGGACAGGTACAGACAAGCCCAGACTGTGACAATATTAAGAGGGAATTTTATAAGTGCCTACATCAAAAAAGAAGAAAAACTTCTAATAAACAACCCAATGATGCATCTTAAAGAACTAGAAAAGCAAGAGCAAACCAAACCCTAAATTAGTAGAATAAAAGAAATAACAAACATCAGAGCAGAAATAAATGAGTTTGAAATGAAGAAAACAATACAATCAATGAACAAAAAGTTGTCTTTTTAAAAAAAATCAAAATTGACAAACTTTTAGCCAGACTAAGGAAAAAAGAGAGAAGGCTCAAATAAATAAAATCATAGATGAAAAAAGGAGACAACTGATTCTGCAGAAATTCAGTGTTTAATTAGTGTCTACTATAAGCAAGTATATGCCAATAAATTGGAAAACCCAGAAGAAATGAATAAATTTCTAGACACATACAGCCTACCAAGATTAAAGCATGAAAAAAATCTAAAACCAATAACAAATAATGAGTTTGAAGCGGTAATAAAAAGTCCCGCAGCAAAGAAAGGCCTGGGACCCAATGGCTTCACAGCTGAATTCTACCAAATATTTAGGGAAAAACTAATAACAATCCCACTCAAATTATTTCAGAAAATAGAGGAATAGGAGATACTTCCAAACTCATTCTATGAGGCCAGTACCAAAACCAGGTAAAGACACATTTAAAAAAAGGAAGGTATAGGCCAATGTCACTGATGAATATTGATGCAAAAATTCTCAACAAAATACTAGCAAACCAAATTCAACAACACATTAAAAAGATCATTCATCATGATGAAGTGGGATTTATCCCAGGGATGTAAGGATGGTTCAAGATGTGCAAATCAATTAATGTGATACCTCATATCACCAGAATGAAGAATAAAAACTGTATGATCATTTCAATTGATGCTGAAAAAGCACTTAATAAAACTTAGCATCCTTTCATGATAAAAGCTCTCAAAAGGCTGGGTGCAGTGGCTCACACCTGTAATCCCAGCTCTTTGGGAGGCCAAGGCAGGCAGATCATGAGGTCAGGAGATCGAGACCATCCTGGCTAACACGGTTAATCACCGTCTCTACTAAAAATTAGCCGGACGTGGTGGCACACACCTGTAGCCCCAACTACTCAGGAGGCTGAGGCCAGAGAATTGCTTGAACCCAGGAGGCAGAGGTTGCAGTGAGCCAAGATCATGCCACTGCACTCCAGCCTGGGTGAGAGTGAGACTCTGTCAAA